GACCACTGGACTCCTTGATTATTCCCAGTCTTAACATTTCCTGAACTAACGGGTTTTATGCCTTCTGGGAGGGGCTTGGCCCCCAGCTCTATACAATGCAGCGAGCTACTAAGGAGGTTCATTCTGATAGTGGGGAGAACACTTCCATGTAGACTTTCAGGAGGTTGTTTGCCTTCTCCACCCATCAGACAGCCTGTCCCCAAGTGGCACCTCTCCTATCCCTATTTCAGCTGGTGTAGGGAGCTGAGGACCCAGATCCTCTTCGCCCTCCTTCAGGTGGATGAAGAGGCATTTCTGGATCTTCCAGGGTTTTAACAGATTTATGTGATAAATCTACTTTGGTTTTCGCGAGCCAGGGCAATAGATTTCACAGTCTACTCATCCCATGCAACGGAGCACTTCATATTATCCCTGCCATTTGGCCAGGAGCTTGCTCTCTGAGCTGGGAAGTATTTAGAATTTCCTGGCTCTAACCCCCTTATTTTATTGTTGCATCTGGGCCTGCAAGACGTTAGTTCAGGCAAGGTGGCCCCCGCATTCTAACCTTTCCCTTGTTTGAATAACGTATTGGAGGTTATTGGTAGAGCAGGTGGGGTGAACTTTCCAACATACCCTAACTAAGTCTAACACTCTGCGAGGCTGTCTCCCATAAAGGAGCTCCAAAGGGGAGAAGCCTGTGGAGGCCTGCAATACCTCCCACACTGCAAACAAAATATAGAGAAGCAGTTGGTCACAGTCTTTGGCCTCTGTTCCACAAAATTTAACATCCTGTTAAGGGTCTTATTGGCCCACTCTCCATGCCAGTCTTTTTGAGAGTGGTAGACTGAGATCTGGAGTGGTTTTACTTTCAACAGTGGCCACTCTTGGAACACCTGCGATGTGAAATTCATCCCCGATTAGTGAGGATTTCCACAGGAAGGTCAACCCAGGAAAATCCAAGGGTGGAGGCAAAGGAATTTCATAAAGGAATTCAGGTGGTGCAGTCCACCAGTACCAAAATAAACTTGTGACCTGAGGCACTCTTCTCCAGAAGGCCTAGTAATCAATCTCTACCCATTCAAGGGGGATTGCAATGATGGGTAGGGGGTTAAGGGGCCCAGCCATGACTTGTTGGGGTAACTTTTTGGTAATTGGGGCACAATATGCAGAAATTGCCTACTTCTTTATGTATCCCTGGCCAAAAGAATAGACCCAATAGAAACAATCTTTCTTGGGTTTTCACCTTACTTAGGTGTCCTGCCATGGGGAGTGTATGGGCTAGTCATAGGAGTTCATGAGACAAGAAATTTGGGGATACTTTTATTCTCCACGTGCTTTTGCTTCACCTTTAGTCAGAGTATCTCCTCCATTGATGGAAAGGGCTCAGATCGAAAGGTCCCTGTTCAGGCGCCACGTATGAAGGACTAGGCCTACCTTATAGTGCCCTCTTCCAGCTGGACCCAGGCTGGTGCCTGCAGAGCTAGCTCCCTCCCTGGGGGAATCCTGCCTGGGGCTTCTCGCAGAATCCAGGTAGAGTAGTTTCCACTCCCACTAATTGCTGTGGGTTTTATTTCAAGCCTTCTTAATGAAAACAAGATCAAAGTTTCACAGCCTTTCCCCACAAAGCCCGTACAGATTAAGTCTCTCCCCTGCCCCCCAAGTCTGTCCCTCACTCTATGAGTTCATCAACCAAAAGTTCGTGGCTCTTACCTCAGAGCCCTTTGTGCTAACTGGATTTTCCCCAGTCTCCCCTCTGTTTCTTGGAGCTGCACATCCTAGCCTCTGACAAGTATCAGTGCCCACTCTCCCATTTCCTACTCCTCCTTTTATGAGGACCAGCCAATTAAGTTGCTGTCTTTTTCCCAGGTGCAGTGGGTGGGACTAATTAGACAGCCAGCCAACTGCAGGCCTCTGAGCTAGGGTTGCCAGGCATCCGGTTTTCAACTGGAACACCTGGTCAAAAAGGGACCCTGGCGGCTCCGGTCAACATTGCTGACTGGGCTGTTAAAAGTCCGGTCGGTGGCACAGCAGGGCTAAGACAGGCTCCCTGCCTGTCCTGGCTCCACACGGCTCCCAGAAGCGGCCAGTAAGTCCCTCTGTGACCCCTATGCGCAGGGGCATCCAGGGAGGTTCCGCACACTGCCCCTGCCCCGAGCACCAGTTCCACAGATCCCATTGGCCGGGAACTGTGACCAATGGGAGCTGTGGAGGTGGTGCCTGCAGGCGGGGGCAGAGCACAGAGCCACCTGGCCATAACTCCACCTAGGAGCCTCAGGGACGTGCCGAGGTAAGTGCCACCCAGAGCCTGCACCCCCTCCCACACCCTGCCTCAGCCCTGAGTCCCCTCCTAGACCCAAACGCCTTCCCAGAGCCTGCACCCCTCCTGCACCCTCTCCAGCACTCCAGTCCTGAGCCCCCTCCCGTACTCTGAACCACTTGGACCCAGCCTGGAGCCCCCTCTTGCACCCCAAACCCCTCATCCCTGGCCCCACCCCAGAGCCCACACCCCCAGCCATAGCCCTCGCATCCCCCGCACCTCAACCATCCCTCAGCCTGGTGAAAGTGAGCAAGGGTGGGGGAGAGTGAGCGAAGGAGGGAGTGGGGCTGGAGTGAGCAGGGGCAGGGCCTTGGAGAAGGGGCGGGGCAGGGGGAAGGGAAACGGTGTTCAGTTTTCTGCAATCAGAAAATTGGCAATCCTACTCTCACCCCAGACAAGGAGGTTAGGTAGGGAGCTGAACTGATGCACTGATTTATCCCCCATTATTGTATGGTACCATCATTGCCTAGGGAGGTTGTGGAATCTCCATCATTGGAGATTTTTAAGAGCAGGTTAGACAAACACCTGTCAGGAATGGTTTAGAAAATACATATTCTGCTGTGAGTACCAGGGACTGGACTGACCTCTCGATGTCCCTTCCAGTCCTATGAGTCTATGATTCTATCATACAGGAGTTACAAGGGATGGCTGAGAACCCAAGCCCCGGGGCTGGAGCCCAAGTACCTGACACAGAGCAGCTACATTACTCCTGGGGGAATTCTGTGCTACTGCACATACACAGAATTTATGTTCCCTGCAGATTTCTTTGCTTCCCCGCAGAAAAATGACTTTCTGATGGGGAAGCAAAGGGAAGCCACAAGAACAGTCATGCAGCCCTTCCCAGCAGTATGTTTCGGGTTCCCAGGGCAGCCAGCAGAGAGGCAAATCACTGTGGGGCAGGAGGCAGGACTGGGGAAGACCCAACTAGTGGCTCCTACCCTGCGCTGGGCTCAGCTGCTAGTCCCGGCTGGGATGGGGAGGACAAGACTTCCTCTTCCCCTGCACGGCATCCGGGGCCAGGTCAGACCTACCCCCAGATTTCTCCATCTGGATCCCGCAGTGAGCCCCCTACACTCAGCCTCTCCCCCCACTGCTGAGCCCCAACCACCTTCACCTGGACCCCCTGCAGAGTCCCATTACCATTGCACCCCCCACCCCCAACAAGCCCCTGTGCATCCAGATCCCCTCTGCACCCGGATCCCCTACTGAACCGCCTGCACCCAGATTGCCCCACACAGAACCCTCTCAACCCACACCTGGATCCCCCCACATTAAGCCACTCCACACTTAGATCCTCCCTTGTTGAGCCTGCCTGCCCACACAGAAGGGCAGGGCCCCAGGGTGTTTCTGGGGCAGGCTGGGTCCTTGTGCTGTGTCAGGGTTGGGTGCAGTCTCACGGCTGAGTCCGTGTCCCGGGAGGGAACTGCATAGTGATCTCCCACCTCTGTGCAGCCAGTGCCCTTTGCTCTCCAATGATAAAATTTGCAGAATTTTGCAGAATTTAAAAATATTGTGCACAGAATTTTTAATATTTTGGTGCACAATTTTACATTTTTTG